ATTCATACCCTTAAGACTCCCCCACTTTCCCCAAAAATCCTTGGCACACCCCTTTTCGCACTTCCAGGCCCACATCCCACTCCGATCAGGAAGTCACGTCGGGCGTGAGGTTGGTATCAGAGCCTGACATGTGGCTAGGGTCTTAGGATTGATAGCGCGTTAATTAGGCGACCTGGCTAATTGTGGGCGACCTGGCCCTCGGAACGCGTATAGACGCGACCCTATCGTCACTAGAAGCAGAGCGACTAACCGACGAACAGCCAATATGGCTACCAACGTGCAAATTCCGTCTCCGCAACAAAATGTTAATCTACCTAATCAACCTGCCCCACGTGCACGAGCCCCCATGTCGCCACGAGATCTCTATCTATTTGATCCGGCACACCATCTTGCAGGAGCATGGCTGGCCACGCTTAGAGCACAGCAGTACGATGATCAGGAAGCACAGATCAACATTCCGATTCAAATGGGAGGAGATGCTCATCATTGGTATGGTACTTATGTACGGGTGGATCTCCCAACCTTCGAACGCGATTTCATGAACCGATTTGATTATGTTCACCCTGAGCAGGCATTGTACATGATCAAGGACCGAGTGCAAAAACCGCCCGAATCCGTTGCGGAATATCGAAACCGGTTCTACAGGATGTTCGTGAAAACTGAGCGAGGGGAGCAAGTAGGGAGGGATCTGTTCATTGACGGACTCCGCAGTCGAACAATAAGGACCAAGTTGCGAAAACAGTTTTCTCCCATCACTCATACGCTACAACAAATTATTGCTGCCGCAGAAGAAATGGAACGAAAGTTCGCAGCGAACTTCCTGGAAGGAGAAGACCACCCTAGAGACGGAGATTTGACCGAGCTCGTACGGGCAAGACCAGAACTGGCTGCTTTACAGAACAAATTTGAAAACATGGGATTTGTATCGGGACCTGTCACCTACATGGAACAAATAGGCCCCAAACGAGTAATTATAAGCGAGACTCTGAGCATCTCTGCTCCTATGATGCCCCCGCCCGTCAGGGCATTACCCCCGTCGCCGGTTGAGGCTCCTGTACGATCAAACGAATCGGCGGCCATTTTCGAACTAACCAAAACGTTGATTAGTTTGATCCAAGAAAGCAAAAAGGAACAGCGAGAGCACAATGCTCGACTGGAAGCCATGATGAGGAACATGCGACCTATCGCGGTGTGTGCCCCTCCGATACAACAAGGATTAGCCCCTGCCTCGACTCTCGGAGGAGCCGCGAACAATCTGAATGTTTGTTATGCCTGTCATCAGCCCGGACATCTAGCCCGTGATTGCCCCCACCGACCCCCGCAACAGCGGATCGGAGTCGCACCTATGGCTGCGGCCCCCATCGCCAATGGACCTGGACGAGTCGGAGCGTTGATGGAAGAAGTGGAGGGTGGGGGAAGTGCCTTGGCCACCACGGAAGAGGCTGCCGAGCTAATTCCACTAGATCAGTATGTATTGCTGGGATATCCTGGACTAGGAATGATCGGAACAATCAGACCAATACCAAAACCGAAAGAAGTGGCGGAGTGGCGACTGTGCTTAGGAGAAATGGAGTCGGGAGGACCCACCTTCGTCAAAGGAGAAATCGATGTATTAAACATTATCCGAGCTTTGGACCATCGGATTCCACTACCGATCGGTCATCTACTCTTGATCTCTGAGCAAGCCAATGAGCGAATGCCACAGCATTGCAAAGCAAACCGAAAGCGGTTTGCCCTCGCCCGAACACCAAGTGCCAAAGCCAAGGGCCCCACGCCGGAAAAAAACCCAACAAGCACTCCGGACCCAATACGGGTGGGATTAATTAAGAAAGACGATCACTTCTTACGGATTAAACCGATTCCGTGGAAGTCCGCGGAATGTGATATTGAAATTTGGGGAGTTCCTTACAACGCGATAATAGATTCAGGAGCCGCTGTGTTGGCTATCTCACTAAGAGTGGTCGAAAGGGCCGGTAGGAAAACGACCTGATCATGCTCACTGAGAAAGATCAGCTCGTTTCGGCAGATGAGGAAAAAATTACAACTATGGGGAGAATGACCAATGTCGCTTTCCGATTAGGTAAAGTACACGCGCTTGGGGATGTCGTAGTACTAGATGTTAATACGTATGACGTTCTTTTTGGACTTCCCGCTCTTGTGGCATTATGAGCAAACTTGGATTTCGAACGACCATCGATCGTCCTCCGAAATACAGGAGGAAAACCCTACGCGGTGTCCATACGATAGACCCTTCGCACTACTATTGACGCGGTCCCGCGGGTCTCGCCGATGATGGCAGGGACTCTCCGCATGATCTCTTGGGACGAACCCACAAAAGGAAAATCATCTGATGATGCAGAAAGCAGTGACGAAGATGATCCGGAGATCTTGAAATTAGTACGACAACGCGTTTACTAGCCGCTACCCAAGACGATAGCAAGAACGATGCAACTGACTAGCCGAAAAATTCAAAGGACCAAGGCAATGATCTTGGGAGAGCCCCTCGTGCAGATTTCGAGGATGGTCGACTCTTTGGAACCCCCTCGAACTCTGTACGAAGGGATCACCCCTCTCCTCGCTAGGTATAGAGATAAAAAGCATTATTGCGACATTACGGAACTACCTAGGTCTTTGCTAACATCGGCTAAAGAAGTGAGGTTGTTACGCTTGGGGGCGGAAGCAAGCTCTCTGGAACCCCCTGGGCGTTTTGAAGCAGAAACAGACACGCTGAGAATAATGATTGCAACCAAGGAAGTGCCATGGCAGGATGTTTGCGACGGGATTACCCCGGAAGGACACGTGGCAATCCGGGAAGAAGATGCTCAGATGATGGTCACGGTGTTCTCCTGGAGGTCGGATCATTCATTCATCTCGGCGCCTCCACCCGACTTGGCAAAACAGGCGCACACGAAACATATYGACGTTCAGATCTGGGACCAACTTTTTGAACTATGCGTTCCACAGTATGTGCCTGATGAAATCCACCGGGTCATTGCGGATATTCTAACAGAATGTCGAGGAGCGATTAGCGTGTCAGATACTGACATTGGGTTGTCGTTAGTAATCCAACATGAAATTCAGACAGGAAATCACTCCCCGATTCATTGCAAACCCTATCGCTATTCCCTGATTGAACGCAAAAAGACTCTCAAACGAATTCGGGAGTTCGAAGCCAGTGGTTGGATCGAACCTGCTACCGGACCTTGGTCTTTTCCCGTAGTGTTAGTACCGAAGAAAAACGGAGCGATTCGCATTTGTATTGATTATCGCAAGCTGAATGAAATCACGATTAAAGATGTGTATCCCCTCCCCCGGATTGATGATCTGTTGGATGCGATTGGATGCGCTAATTATTTCAGCAAGTTTGATATTTGACATGGCTTCCATCATATTCTGGTGAGGGAAGAAGATCGGCCAAAAACGGCCTTCGTGTTGKTTGAGGGCACGTGGCAGTGGGTTCGGTGTCCGATGGGGATTTGCAATGCGCCTGCCACGTTTCAACGAGCGATGAACATGACGTTCCAGAACTTCGTCAACAAGACACGGCTGACGCAGAGAATGATTAATTTCTGCGTGATCGTGTACATGGACGACATCCTGGTCTATTCGGAGACCTATCACGGGCACGCGCAACACATCGAATGGACATTGAGTGCATTGAGAGACGCTGGGTTCAAGATTGCGCTTGAGAAGAGTGAATTTTTCCTCTCGAAAATTTTATTCATGGGCTATGTCGTGACACGTGGAGGATTGCGGCCAGACTCGAGAAAAGTTGCGGCAGGGAGAGAAGCTCCGGTTCCCACGTCTCTGACGCAGGTTCGAGCCTTCTTGGGGCTGGCGTCGTACTGTCGGCGCTTCATCAAGGGTTTTGCCGCGATTGCACGACCAGTAACGAATTTGTTACGGAAAGACCAGCCTCTCAGCTGGGACGCGGAGTGCCAGCAGGCCTTTGCAACCCTCAAGGACGCTCTGGCAATGACCCCTATTTTGATCCGGCCGGACCCCTTGAAGCAGTTCATCCTCATCACGGACTGGCAACCGGAAGCTATTTTCGCTATTTTAGCCTAGAAGGGGAACGATGGTCGAGAACACGTCATCGAATATGCGCCACGAACCGTACCGGACGAACGAAGAAACGGTTCCGCACCTCAGGGTGAGTGCTATGCAGCAGTTTGGGGAATCCAACACTTCCATCTGTATCTCTACAGACAGAAGTTCCACCTCGTAACAGATCACGAGCCTCTGCTGGAGCTGAAGAAACTCACCAACTACACGGGCATGATTGGCCGTTGGGCGGTGCGATTGCAAGAATGCGACTTCGACATCGTCCATCGAAAGACAGAGCGACACGRCAACGCGGACGGGCTGACACGTCTACATCGGCCGGCCAAGGTACCAAAGGGCAAGGAAATTACACCGCGGAAGGAGCCATACTTGACCCACGAGCCGAAATACGGACAAGTGGCAGTTCTTCCACGTGGCAAGAAGTAGAACGGTGACGATGGGTGATGGAGGTAACCCCACTACCCCTCTCTCTCCCCTTTCCTCTTCGTCTCTCCTCTCCCTGCCCGACAAATTCTGCTATTTTTGCGAAGCTATTTGCCGCGTATATTCGGTCTCCATGTGTCAGAACGGGGAGGGATATGCGGATTGGATAGATTGCCGACAGTGTGTTGCGCGAGCCCATGGCTCGTGCATCCAATACAGAAACGATAGTAGCCCATGGTTGTGTCCCTTGTGCCGGATCAACAAGATTCCTACCGAGGCTCGATTTTTGGATGCCACGTCAAAAGGATTGGAAAAGACCCGAAAGTTTCGAAGGGCCGAAGTATGGATGAATATTGCCTTAATTGCCACCCTACTAGGTAACCCCCTCCAGGATTTCACCAAAGAAGATCGGAGGAGGGCCAATGAAAGAGCTCGGGATTATCGATGGGTAGAGGGTAGATTAGAAAAACGAAAAACGGACGACAGTGGGATTTGGATGGTAGTGCCGCATCCGTTCATGCGGTATGACTAGGTTAAGACAGCCCACGAGAAAATTGCGGCTCATTTTGCCGTGCGAATCACAGAGTCCGCTATCGACAAAAATGAGTGGTATTGGTCCAATATCCGCGACGATGTGAAGTACATCGTTGCCAACTGTTAGGTCTGCGCCGCTGATAAAACGCCGATTCARCCGCCAAGATCGATAGTGCCCACAGTTGTTGAACGACCATTTCAAAGAGTGAGCATGGACACTACCGACATAGTGGTACCCCCTGACCCTAATAGTTGCGAGTATTCAGTCCTGCTGGTATTTGTCGACCATTTCTCGAAATGGATCGAAGCGTATCCTTGTCGCACGCGGCAAGCCACGGAAATCGCGCGATATGTCAACCGTTTCCTCGGGATGCATAAGGATACGGAGGAAATCCTAACCGACAATGGGGCTGAATTCAGGGGAGAAGTGTTAAGGAATCTGGTCCGACACGGCGTCGCCATATGGAACACTGCACCTCACATGTCACAGTCCAACGGGCTGGTCGAAAACGCTAACCGGGTGATAAAGACAGCGTTGCGACGAAACATCGCGGCACGGGATCCAAGACCTTGGCCCGATATTGTCGATCACATCCTGGCGGTCCATCGCGGAATGCCCCACGAATCGACGGGGCTAAGCCCCTTCCAATTAAGGACCAATAGTGTTGCTTGTGTTTCGATACCGAGCCTCTCGGATGAGACGACATTAACCCAACGGCCCACCAGGGCCACGGCTCAGGACAAGGCCAAACGACACCTAGAATTAATGGAACGGTCGCTGCCCAGGCTAGCCCGAAAGCGACAGAAAATGACCGAACTAGCCCAGGGACGACAGGTCCGGAGCTACAAAGCCCGAAATGGGAATGCGGGTCCGCGACCCCAGTACAAATTGGGGAACGTGGTGCAGGTGAGGAAATGTGCTCGTCAGGGTAAGCTAGCGCCACGATTCTTCGGGCGATATCGCGTGATCGAGCTCGGCCCCAACGGCGTGGACACCGTGCGCCTCGCCCCTGAAGTCTCTGGCAGTCGATCGGCTCGTCCGATCACACGCCACGTGTCCTATCTCCAACCCCTCCCCTCTGCTCTAACTCCTTCACCCTATTTTTCTCTCTCTGAGGAAGCCGAGGACGACGGCTCTGCCTCTCCGGCATCTCCCTCTTCCTCTTGCTCCCTCTCTGCCTCCCCGTCACCATCGCCATCGCCATGAGTTTTCTGGAGGAGAGAGCCCTCAGCGAAGCAACACTTGCGCCCCGTGATCGACCGACGATCTGGCAGGTCTATCATCCCTACCTCAGTCCAGACCTTCGGCGACTTGCGCACTTCTTCTGCACGGAAGGTGTATACATGGCGGCAGTGTTCAGAATAGAAGGTCGGCCCGACGCAGTGGTATTGGCCGAGGCAGTAGCGGTTAATCAGCGAGCGGTACCAGGTGTCAACCGCATATCGGTCGTCATCAACTTCCGTGGCGATCTTTCCACACTCCTCCCTTTACGACATTCGGTGGTGAGGACATCGCTGCGCGCGTGGGCAAACGACCTGGTCGCCGAGTGGACCCAGCTTCTGGCTCGCCCCGGGGACACGGTCACGACGACACGAGCAATCGAATACGACGGCCTTCGGATGTACCAACGTGATCCGCCGACGATCCTCCCTGTTGTTGTTCCTTTCCCTCGCCCCTAATGAGTCTTTCTCCAATCTCCATTTTTTATCTCCCCTCCACCTTCCCCACCTTCTGGCAGTCTGATATCCATCCTCGCCTTTCCTACTGCCTAACGACCCTTGCTGTCCCCGACATTCATCCCCCATACTGGGTCCTGTGGTGCGAAGACTTCATAGAGCTTTCACTGTGTTTGGTCGAAGTACGGCTGATGTGGATCGAGGACAAAGCGCACCCGCCTTGCTGGAATTGCTGTTTATCCAAGCCTGGCGCACCAACGTGGAGGGAGAGCTCCTCGCATTCTTATTCGGTGCAGTACGGCTCGGCCATCAGGAACTTATCACGCAAGAGCTCACGATCCCGGTAGCGTAGCTGGCGGACGACCTCCCTCTCGCAAGACGACGAGCATCCATTTCCCCATGTCCTTTCTCGCACCTTGATACCTCATCTTCAGTGGTCGGCTTGCGTAGAAGGAGCCGCGGAACACATCCCACCGTCGCAACGACAACATTTGGATCCCCGGGCGATTCGTGACCCTGCCTTCTTCAGGCAGCCTACGGCAGAGCAGCTTACGGCCATCCAAGAGGAGGAAGAGGAGGAAGAAAGCACTGAGAGTGACGACAGGGAAGACGAGCGGGGAGAAAGTCAGGAAGGCGACGAAGTACTCGGGGAAGAAGACGAAATCCCCGAAGAAGGAAGCGATAGCGAGCATAGCGAGGGGGAGCAGAGCGAAGAAGAGGAAGAAGACAAAGAAGGAGAAAAAGGGCATGAAGAAAAATCTGCTGGACAAGAGTGGGAAGCCGTGCTGGAAGAAGCGCTGCGCACAGGTACAGAGGCAGAAGATCCCGAGGCGGCCCGTAAAAGGGAAGAGATCGCGGCCAGGAAGACGGAGTTAGAACTCGCAGGTGCGGCGAGTCTGCAGATCAGCGACGACCCAAACCGAGATCCGGAGCCGCCCCAACCTGAAGATGGCAACCTCACGGCCATGACTCCGGCCCCATTGGCACGACGATGAAGCCGATCCCCCCCCTCCCCAACCCGTCCCTCATTTCGCCGACGTTCCGATACGGGCGATAGGCCTTCGTCCCCGATTACTCTCTCGCTGTCCCCTTGACTACCTCACCCTCCGCCAGCTCACCAACCCCGTCACGTTCCCCTCCAATCCGTTCCCCCGTAGTACCTTCCGCCACTTTTACGCCGCTCGACTCGCTGTCGTAGTGCATCCCCATCTCTCCCTCCGGTGCGCCGTCCCGACCTTTTGCCTCTATGTCTTGTTTTTCAGTGCCCCGTAGCGAGGCCACAATATGATTGAGGTTTATGGTGTGATAACGGGGACCATCCCCGCATAAGAAGATCGCGATCGTTTCCGTGCGACGCTCTTCCGAACCTTTACCACCCTCTACCCCGACTATCTTCCGTCCCTCCCTCGCACTGGCAATCGAATCCCCCGTCTCCACCGCATTGTTCATTACCAAGAATTCCCGGAGACTGCAGCCGGGATGGAAACTTTCCTGCCCCCGCTACCCCTAAGCCCTCCGCCCCGCCATGCCGCCATGTACCAACTTCCTTTCCCCCTCCCGGTTAATTACTGATGCAACACGTAATGGACGCGTGTCGCGGCGACGGCACGAGAAAGATCACGTCCTTGAATTGTCGAGAGCCCAATCTGAGGAGATAGTAGAAGAGCCAAGTTGCCACATTGGATGACATCTACACGCGATCAAACGGTAAGTGGCATAAAGAGAAGTGTTCCGCCTGTCGATCGATTAGAGAAATCGACACGTGTCAACAAGCAAGCARGAGCTTGCTAATATTGGAACCCCCTGGGCATCACATATGTGACGAACCACTTTCTCTAACGCGCGAGTTTCTGCGCGGTTGCAGCACGGGGTCCTAAGCTGGGAAGATTGGGCCACTTACGGGAAATCGGGATCGGTGGAAAATTGCATTAGAACCCTTGCTTCTTCGTCTTTTTCGTCGCTTCTTCGGGGCTGGGTGTGTCCCGGGACGGCCGGCTGGGCGATTGGTCGGATGGATGTCTGGCGCGCCACCACGTGCGCGATTAATAAATGTTGACGTCGTTTCTTTCGTTTCGGGTTCGATCTTTTGGGCGCGGACATCGCGCGGGAAATTGTTTCATTCTTTTTGAATTTCCTTTTGAATCTTTTTCGAATTTTGTCGAGCCCCGATGACTCTCGGGATTTTGGAATTTCTTTCTGGAATGTATGCTTTTTACTTTTCCGCACTAGATAGGAATTTAGGAATTCAGTAATTAGGACTTTCTCTGCCGCGCTGCGCCTTTTG